TCGTGCTTTTTCCTCGTTAATAACCCACTGTCTCTCTGTAGCAAGCGCCATGTAGTCGATAAGCGAGGTAGATGAAAGTAATGGTTATGTGTTTGTTAGATCCTTGGGCCGTTAAGGTGATCCGATTGTCGTGGTTTCGTTGTTTCTTTTCCCTCTAAAGGAAGTATGAGCGACAGATCGAGAAATAGCAGGTGACTGCAACCCGTGTCATCTTAACGTAACTTTGGGTCGACGTCGACTTAGTCTAGCTACGAGTCGACATCGCAGTTGCCCTTCGAGCTTTCCTTGATCGCTTTATCTCCAATTGTCCTTCAATGCGGTCAAGTTTCTTTTTCTTCTTTTTTTTTTCTGTAAAAGGATTTATAATCGATTAATATTAGATTTGTAATCTTAAGCTCTCGAAAATAGCCTATCAATGTCGGAACTAATATTTTTTTATTGCCGTTCAAGGCTGACTTTAATAAAAAAAAAAAAAAAAAAAAAAAAATTTTATGTATAATATAGGGTAACTTAAGAAAGTCGCAAAAAATAATTCGCTAATCATATTAATAACGTTTATGTATGTGTATATATATATATATATATATATAATTCTATATTATTCATCCTTCCATCAACCACTCAATTTTTAATTCATCAAATTATAATTCATGTATAAAAAAAAAAAGTTGACACTGCTGCGTAAACGCAAAGTTCAAATCAACAAATAATATACAGAAAAATATGTTCTTTTACTTGCGTGAACCGCGAGAAAACCCTCGACTTATAAATTGTAGAGGAGCATACGAGCTCACCTGTCTATCATGAATTTCAACTTTTAACATAAGCAATCGTCTTTTTAAAAGTTTGTTTACTTTATTAATGTCGATTTAATAAGGTACGGCACATTTATTCAAATTTCTTCTACTTTCCCACACTTCCCAATTAATATTATACATATTATGTATAATAATTTAATCTAATATTTAGCACACCTTCACAACGATTTATTATTTATATTTTCTTAATTACACGTTGTTAATTCATTGTTGTGCACAATGTATTTCTAATTTTTTTTTTTCTTTTTTCTCCAATGTTGCATACATCTAATCTATACGTATCAATTTCATTATCGCTTAAAAATGGTAATTTATAATTTATAATTTAATATATAATTTATTTATAATTAAACCAATGCTTATCATCGAATATATCTATTGCAATATAATATTACGCAACGAATACATACTATTAAATACAGCATTTCAATGAAATGTTTCTAAATTTAATAGAAAAACAATTACATTACATTTTCCTGCAACTCTACACCTACAAAAGTCATGCGAGTGTCATAATAATAATAATTTACAACTTATGACTCGTTACACTTTAAATCTATTTGTGAAATTTTATCATTTCCTACTTCTCGTGCATTCATCGTCTCATATCTTCATCTTAATTTATTTTTTTTTTTTTTGTTTTTTTTTTTTGGTTTGTTTGTTTTTTATATCTATCTTTATATTTATTTACATAAAGATCTCTTACCTAATGGCTATCTAACTAATATACTCTGTCTCATAATTTTATTTTCCATTAGGGTAACACGACTACTCCATCTAAATGTACGAAATTTCACCATCCCCAATATGTTTGTCTGTAATGTTGGATCCCTTAGATAATAATTGTGGAATATCATTGAGATTATTATTGAGATTTTATCTTACACTATGTTAAATACCTTTCACAAGTTATAGAAAAATTATCAAATGCAACGAGTTTCCTTTTCACATAATGTGCGAAAATCCATACTTATATATAATGGGATTACTTTCTATTTGTTAAATTGTTGAATTTAATACGCCTTACTTTAATGCATTGTCCTGCACCTAAATATGATATAGAAAACTAAGAATTCGTATGAAATAGAATGGCAAGTGAAAATAAAGGAATGGAATAGACCGGTGAGCGAATTAATTGATTACATTACGCTAAAATAATTATTTTTTAGCATTCTTAAGGGCGTATAAAACGAGATGAGATTGCCATTAATAACGCGAAAAATCCAAACAGTTTTATAATATGGCATTAAGCTACTTATAAAATATATCTTCCGTATGCAATATAATGTAATTTATTTTATTTGATAATAAGTAGAACAGATTAAATTATTGCGTGACGTATTTTTCATTTTTTTTTATTACTTAATATTCGTTAAATAATACTTGAATAATTAAAAAAATTTTTATCATACGGTAATCATAGTTGATTGCATTACATTCTATCAGATTATTAAATATAGTATCGTCTGTATCTTTATTATTGCATTATTTTTTACAGTGTTGATCCAAATAGTTCATCGTAGAAAAATTATAAAAGTATAATCGAATAATTATACTTATTATAATTTTTTTTTTTTTTTTTTTTTTTTTTTTTTTTTTTTTTTTTTTTTTATTATTTTATTTATTTTAAGCTCAGTTTCTATCTCATTGAAATTATAAAATCTAATAAAATACGTAAAAATTGAAAAAATATTTACATTATAATTCTAAGAAATACGAAATCACATTTTTTTCTTTTTTTTTTTTTTTTTTTTTTTGTAAAAAGCGATAAAAAAACAAATGCCGCGTAATTATAAAAGATTTTCTTGCAATCAAAAAATTTCATCGAGTAACCATAATTGACGGCCTAATTAAAATTGCCACGCGGATACTTTCCTTTAACAGGATAACGCTCAAGAACATATATATATATCAAATATAAATCATTGTGTACGATCCTATTATTATTTGACAATACTGCAAAATAATTACTTCAATATATTTGCTTTAGCTCAAGGCAAAATACAATTAAAGAATCATAAAAAGGTGTTTTCTTAATTGCACTTCTTTATTATTTTAAACAAGTTTTAGAGTTTACAAAGGCTTTATTTAAATCCGTATTATGTGCGGGTGAAAGCTCGAACATTATATTAGTATTTAATTATAACGACTTATTGCTAGACAAATTAAGATATAAACATGATTTAATTAAACATTATATTGAAGAGAACAAAAAAAAAAAAAAAGAAAAAAAAACTATTGTCAAAATTCTCTACCAAAGCCTTTGGCTACTCCGTTGCCTACAATAGGAAATATAATTGTATCGATTTGAGATCAAATTGACAGTTTCATTATATCTCGGATATCAAATTGTCAAATAATAAAATAAATAATCCAATCAATCCAATCTATATCTTCGAATCTGCCTTACAATAAATCACTTTCTTGTTTGCATATACGTGCATAAATAAAAAGGAATTTGTTTTTAGAATTTTTATCTTAAAGAGAAAAAAAAAAAATCTAGTTCAGTTTCATATTTGTTTGTGACAATTTCTTAACGTCTTTTCTTCTGATAAATACACTTCGCCGCCATCCAAAGGAACGATTATCTCTAGACGAATAGACGACTGTGATTAGCACAAAATATATCCACTCTAAAGCTGAGACGATCAATGAAAAGTTTCATATTTTCAAATCTACAATGTCCAACATTACATGAATTTTAATAAATACAACTTAATAAATACCCAAATTATCAGGCAAAAAAATTTATTTAAGGTTTATTCGGTAATATGAAAATTACATTATTTGTAATATTTTATTGAGTCAATGCGTTCAATCTATTCTCTTCAGCAGCAACGGTACAATAATAATAATAATAATAATTAATACCTCTATAATAATAGTTACGTCTCTTTCTCTCTCTCTCTCTCTCTCTATCTCTCTCTCTCTCTCTCTTTGTGTGTGCTTGTACGCGCCCGCGGGTTAATGTGTAGTGTTGTATTTTTTTTTCTTTTCTGTAGGTGAAAATATTCTACGAAATATGAATTCTTATCGACATTTACTGTACGAACACCCGCTGATTCAATAATACAAGTGAAATTTGCAAACAAAGCAATAAAATTTAAATATATCACCACATTCTGTTTTTTCTTATTTCTTCACTGTTCTTCGGAATCAAAGCAAACTTTTTAGACAAACACATGCTCGCCGGTGCGCACACGTACAATGAAATGAAAATTGAAATTATTCATAATAAATTGTCCAAGTATTAAAATTTCAAGGAGCAGGCATCAATGATTTTCTAATCTTTCGTTGCAAATGAATTTTAACGAAAGAGGAAAATACTTTTTAGCCTTTGCCTGGGAAAGTAGGTAAATGTTAAATGTGTCAGGTGTACAATTAATGGATAACTTAAAAATATATAAAGACTACTGTAACGGTAACGGTGTAATGAATGCGACATGCCATTATTAAAGGGAAGGCAAATAATGTTTTGGCATATTTAATCGAAAATAAACTTTGTTCACAAAATTGAAAGTTTGCTCTGCGGAAAATATTATTTTACTTTTTGAACTGATTAAACATATACATGTTTGTTATTCTTCTTTATACTATTTCATATTAGAACTCAGGTTTATTTGTCGACTTATTAAAGAATCATATTGTTTATGCGTATTTGTATAAATCAGTCTAATCTGTCACAAGTAACATTTGTTTGTCTTTAATAAATATCACGTCCGTACCTTATGGATAAAAAAAAAAAAAAAAAAAAAAAAAAAAAAAAAAAAACAAGGCCTCCTGCTTGAACAACACTATATCAATAAGTGTTGAATTTAATCAAATTTATGAAAATATTTCTGTCTTATTGCAATTAATACAATGATATACTCAAATTTATTCAATTATGAATATATATTTAAAATATTTGCGTGCTCAATAAAACGAATGTTAAACGTTATATGTTACGGCAATAGAAAACCATTATAATTTATAAGTGTGGAATCACTTAACTAGAGTATTAAATATGATAGATTAATCTAACATGTAAAATTAATTGTATGATGTAATAGCAGTTTGTATTAAAGAAGGGCTTATGTAGAATGATTTATCTTATTTGAAGATCATATAACAAATATCACAAGATTTTATTTACTTATCTTATCAGCAGCTACCTTATGGTATATCTACGAAATTTGGAAAAAAATATACTCATTGTGTATGTGTAGTTGAAATTCGCTCGGCCATTTATCATGGTCTTGTCGGTAGAAAGTAAGATCATCTTTCCACAATGGTACACAGGAATCGGAGGTAGGATATATTATTTTACTGTTTTAGTTTTGTGCTCATTCGTCTCATTAATACGAAAAATTTCGAAACAAATGTGTGCAATATGTCGAAGCGATATTTCGCTCCCATCAAAATAAACTTTGCATTCATTTATGGTGATTTTGAATTATAATGAGACTATCCATTGAGTTGTGTATAAAAATGTTATTCAATAAAATTGTGTGAAAATAATAAATTTGTGAAATAATGTGCAGTGCTGAATTTAATCAATACCCATAATTATTCAATTTATCGTTAAAAATGCCTCAAAATGGCAATAACTTTGAAAACCAATTTTGAAAACCAAGCTGATTTTTTTAATGTAACAACATTTTTACATTCATTTCGCAAAATATTCTATTCATTAGATGCTATGAAAAAAAAAAAAAAAAAAAAATTAAAAAAATAAATAAAATACATCTGAATTTTTAATAGTTCCCTGTAAAACAATGTTTTTGTTTTTTGTTTTTTTTTTATTCTAATTTATTTATTTATTTATTTATTTATTTATATATTCTAATTTATTATCAGACATATTATGTGATTTTATTTTATTTTTTATATCATTATTTTATAAGTTTTTTAATTCCCATAGTATTGTTGGAGGGATAGAAATTCTAAACTGTAACAATGTATTTGTTAATAAGGCATATAATTAAAATTTTTCTCATAATTAGTCATATAAATTGCAATGCAATTGTTAGGAAAATATCTTTTAGAATTATTATGATTGTGGTGGTATATTTTAGAATAAAAAAACTTACATGAGAATAATGTAAGCAAAAAATGCTTGATATAAGCCTTGGGCTTTTTAATAAAATTTTCATAAATTAACGAGATTCATTGTATTATATTGAACAAATTAGACAAATTCAACGTATTACATACGCTCTATAAGATTATATATATATATATTTTTTTTTTTAACTCGTTTAATAACTGAAAAGTATCGAAAAAGAAAAGAATAAATAAGAGGATTTTTAAAAAGCCTTATAGCTGAAATTATGTTTGTAGAATTATAGTAAATTTTTGCTTAAAATATTCAAATTATAATCTCTTTAATCTCTTTTTCATTATAAAAAATAAATAATTTAATATATTCCGTATTGTAATAAGGAAACATGAAAAGCAATATTTTTAATTTTGAATATAAGACGATGTAACATTTTATTATAATTATTAATCAAGTATTAATAATTTCATTTAAAATTCCTTTTTTTATATTTTAAAATTTATTTTGAGGAAATTCCCTATTGATACAACGATATAATAGAATCATAAAATTTTAGATGAAAGAATGAATACACATTAATTTTACAATTCGACCTCCGCTTTATTTTTACATTGAGTTTTCTCTAACAAAAAAATTCTCTACCAGTATTCAGTAATTGGATCTTTGTAAAATAATTACATTTATTTACATTTATTATTAAAATATCATATTTACTTTGAAAAATGTTTATTAATATTTACATGATTGATCGTCATTCATAGTGACTCAAATGAATATTTTATAAAAAAAAAAAAGTTATTTAATATCAAGATATGTATTTTTTTTTGTTCTTGTTTTTTTTTTGTTTGTTAATTTTTACTTATTGTGAATGACAAAAAATACAATACATTGTATTTTTATGGTTTAAGTTTAATTTAATGGCATTTACACTTTCTATCAAATAATTATTATATTTATAATTAAATTAACAATAATTATGGCTTATTCTTTATTAAAAATAAAATGGATGACAATGATGAGATGAAAATGTCAAGAAATAATAAAAATTAAACAATGCATATTTCAGTAAATCGTATGGAATTAATTTTAAGTCATTTGCATTATGTCTTTTAACTGAAAGCTATTTTATATTTTTATAAATAGTTTTTAATGTAATTAATTGCCTCTAACTCGGAATAAATTGAGCAAACTGTCAAAATCTTTTTCGAAAACTAAATTACCTTAAATCAGAATGAATTGAAAAATAAAAATTCGAGTATCTCGACAATGATATGTTTTAACTTACGAATTGTATAATCTATATTTATAATTATATTTATAATATATCATAAAAATTAGTTTTTATTTATTCTGGAATATGCATCATTACCTAAGGGCAATCATAATACTTTTAAATACACAAGATATTGTTAGAGTAGGATAGATTTTTTTTTAATCATAACTCTAATCACATATTGAGCCACTAGTCACGTGGAGTTATTTCCATGAATTTGTAAAACTACTTAATAATAATTCATCAATACATTTCAAATATTATATTTCAATACTAATTAGTTCTGTTGTACTGGAGCAATAAAAGCATAAATTATTAATATAAAAATGCTATTCTTTTCACATTATTTATGCAGCATACGTTGAATTGTAATAATCCAAATAAAGGATTATAAATCGTTGTTGGCTAAATAAAAATATTCCCAAGCACTTCCTTAAAGCATACATTTACATATACATCTCTCATAATATATGCGTTTGTGTGGGCTATGGGCTCTCTCTCTCTCTCTCTCTCTCTCTCTCTCTCTCTCTCTCTCTCTCTCTCTGTATGTGTGAGCGCGTGAGTGCGCGAGTGCGTGAGTTCGTGTGTGGGTGTGGGTGTGGGTGGTGGCGCGTTTATACATATAAATTCAAAATGATTTCAAAATGATTAATGTCACAAAGTATTCTAAGGGACGTTTCCTGTAAGAGACGAATGCAAAATTAAAAATAGCAAAAAATAAAAGAGAAGAACGGAATGATAAAAGAGTTGGGTGGAATTGGTGGGGCATTAAAGTAAACAAAATTTTAAATCTATTTACATGGAAGCGAGACTCACCTATGCTTCTTTGCTTTCAGTAACCCTCCTGTTGCTGCAGATGGGTTTCCTGGGTGGCTGGGTCTCGCCGACCTTGGCAAGGCTCATGGCTGCTGATTCACCGATCCCATTGACCGTCGACGAAGCATCCTGGGTGGCATCGATCTTAAACTTCTGCCGATTTTTCGGCAGCATACTCGGTGCCGTCGCTGCTAATTATCTTGGCAGCAAGCGATCGATCTTCGTGAGTTTGTTCCCGATATCGGCCGGCTGGCTCATCATCTCCTTGGCTAACCAGGTGAAATGGCTCTACCTCGCACGAGTTTCCAGCGGCGTCGGCATCGGCATGGTATACAGCACGTTCCCGCTCTTCATCGGCGAGGTCTCGACACCTGAAATACGTGGAGCCCTCATATCGCTGGCAACCTGCGGCGTCCCGGTCGGCCAGCTTATAACCAGTATCGGCTCCTCCTTTCTCAGCCTCTCCACATCAGCCGTCATCTACGTGTCCATCACTCTGCCTCTCATTGCCTTATTCGTCTGGCTGCCCGAGTCGCCGCATCACCTCATCAAAATTGGCAAGCGCGAAGAGGCGAAGAAATCGATCGATTGGTATAGAGCCGGGACAGGTGTGGAGAAGGAGCTCGACGCGGTCGAGAAATTCGTAGAATCCGTTAAGAGCACGAGCTTCTTCGAGCAGCTGCGCGAACTGACCTCGGCCCCCATGAGAAAAGCTCTTTTCCAAGTAATCGCGCTCTTTACGTTTATGCAGATAAGCGGCGTTAACAGCGTATTGTTCTACATGGAGACGATCTTAACCCACGCCAAGGTCACCGTCATCGAGCCATTTCTCATATTTATCTACGTGAACGTGGCCGGCATCTTTGCCGCGGCTCTCTCGATTCTACTCATCGATACTTGCGGCCGTAGATTTTTATTAATGGTCTCGAGCTCGGGTGTTGGCCTCTCCATGATCGGCATGACATGCCACTTTTTACTAATGGACACGTATAGGAATGTGCCGAGCTTGCAGTTCATTCCCATCGCCTCGATGTTCCTCTTTGTGACGTCATTTTACGTGGGCTTGTTCCCGGTGCCGAACGCCATATTGAGTGAATTGTTTCCCGCTAATATAAAATGTGTGGCGGCCAGTGTTGCCGGTCTGACTGGAGCGATGATGGCATTTTTGTCAACAAAGACTTATCAGCCGTTGATAGATCTGATGGGCGAAGCCTACGTCTTTATGATTTATGCGATATGTGCGATTCTCGTGATACCGTTCAGTTTGTTTATAATGTCGGAAACAAAAGGGAAAAGCTTACAACAGATACAAGACGAACTTACGAGAAAGTGATTTGCGTGTAATAATAATACATGTTTTTTCTTCTCTTTTTTTTTTTTTATTTATTTATATATAAATGCATTTGCAGTGTTAGTCATTATGAGTAATTTTAAATGTTGTCAATGTTTGCACAGTTTGTAAATCAATTGTATATTATTCGATATTGTAAAAACTTATTTAACTCACTGTGTAAATTTATGAATTATGTTGACTTACTCAATAAATGTGAATGTATATGGCTCTCTAGATACAAACCAACTTTACGTGTAATAACAATTTTATCTCATTTTTCCATTAAAAACCCTAGCAAATCAATATGAAAATCATATGACAAGCTTTCTGACAAATTTCAATTTTCGTATATGTACATGTAGCTTCTGAATTTTATCTTGTAATATCTAATGACAGTTTATTGTTTTCTTAACTTTCTTATCGGTTAAAATCACGATGTTATGTTAAAGAAAGTCATTTGATTTTTAGCGGTGGTGATTTTTTTTTTTTTTTTTTTTTTTTTATTCACCATTTTGGCGGAAACTAATAAACGATTTATACAATATAGAGTCTCGTTTGCCAGACTTTAATCAATATTTTACGATAACTAACTTTAAATTCGGATGTTACAATTTTTTTCTTTTCTTCACACTCTGTTAGTGATAATATTGCAAATTATTGTTCCACTCTTGCATTTAACTTTATATATATAAAGTTAATATAACTTTATAATAATATTCAAATGAAAATACTTTAAATTACTTCCTTAGTATCTTGTGAGATACTTGGAATTTCAATTAAAATTTTCCTATGCACAGAAAATGTCTGTAGTTAATGCAAGTTCACAAAGTCATTACGATGACATTAAAGTGTAAATAAAATATTCAATACAAAAAAATGCATAATTGACGTTGAATATATATATATATATATATATATATATATATATATATATATATTATGCATTTTTTTGTATTGAATATTTTATATATATATATATATATATATATACATTCTCACTTGCGATAATATTTTCGTTATTAATTTTTGTCAAACTCCTGCTGTTCTCTCTATTTGGGTAAGACAAACGATACGTTCAAACAGACGCGAATCAGAATATATAATCACCGCCTGACAGAACGTCGCACTTTGCTTTTAAATAAACAAACATCGAATCGTTTTTCGTCGTTTCACATCTTCTATTCCAAGACATTTAAATATCTTGGAAATAATTTATTTACTTCGCAACATACAATTCGACATTTTAAAAATAATACAAACTATAACTGGATAAGTATATATACAGATATATACATACATACATATACAAGTATTTTTTTATGAGAAACTCATTGTCATCAATCCGATTGATTAATAATTTCTACCTTTGTTATTTTAAATTTTTAACAGATACACGATTCACGGTTATTTTAATTTATATCGAATAATTCACAAATTGGAGGCTATAACGCGACAAAACTAGTAAATGAAGAATTAAAAAACAAACTCGGATTTCTTAATTATAATATCATGTACGTTTAATATTGGCTTAAATTACTTTAGTAAATAGTAATCATATGTTGTGTTTAAACAAAATTCTCTAGATATGGAAGAACTCATTGTTATGTATAAATACAAACTTATCTCTCGCTAATGCTTAAAACTTAAGTTAAATTAAGTAAATTATATTTCTAATTATAAAGCTCCGTGGTGCATGTCAATAAATCCATGGTACGTGTCTCAAATTAAACCCTAATGATAAGATAAATAAGTATTACTTATAATTAACATTTATAATAGAAATAAAATGATTAGCAGTAACATTATAGAACGCAAGTACTTAGAAATATATTTTTATATTGTGTACGTGCGTGCCTGCACGCGCTCATCCTCCCACGCATTTGTATATACATTTTTTTTTTTTTTTTTTTTTTTTTTTTGGTTTGTTTTTTGTTTCATTTAATGCTAGATTGATGCTATTTATACTAGTAAATCCAAGGAATTTGGTGCTTTTAAATTAGTTATGAAGGTTTGCTTTAACGTTGAAGAATGCATTGGAATTCAATTTCTATTGTTTCTTAGAATCATTACTAGTAAGGCTGTGTACATAAATTTTAATTAGCTTAGAATAAAGATAGGTGAGCGAAAGTGAACCGTCCGACATTAATAATCACTGTCATTCGTTCATGCTACCATCAACGACACATTTTCTATAATGCACAGCACATAAATGCAGTGTCGTGGCAAATCAATTCCTCCTACAACTCTTGTTTTGTTTTATTTGTACCGCCTTTTCCCTTCCCGCCACCACTCGCACAACTACTGCTTTCCGTAAGTTTCATGAAAGCGTCTAGATGACTTGAATCGATCATTTGAACTTATCGTTCTCCTTACAACGCACTTCGTTAACAATGTGGTGAAAATTTTTTTTTTTTTTTTTTTCATTGCAAATTCAATTTGCCAGCTTTAGACTGGCACTACATTACTTTTTCTCTCTTTCTTTTTCACGTACTATATTCTATTTATGCGCATATGAAATAATATGCCTACGTAAAAGCTGTATTTTTTCACATTACAATATGAATAAAGTAATATTTATGTGAAAAATATGATAATATAATTGGTAGTATTGCATTACAGATTTATATCAGTTGTCTCATTATTATGTGGTGCATACACTTATCGGCTTTGGTTAATGAATGGAGAAAAATTTATTTAAAATGCCCATTATATCATTACGCGCTGTTAGATATTTCTGAACATATGCGTCTATGTGATTATGATCTTTTACGGCAGCGCTCGCAATAATATTTTTCAGGCATATTATTGATGATGTTTGTTCGTATTTCATTATGAACAACCTGTTACAACCTCTTCCTCTATTTGATCACGGAGTATATAGAACAACATCACATCGCATAAATATATTGTGAAATTGAATATATATGCACGATATTGGATTATCACTTGTGCATAAACTTATTGTGATGTGGTATGAAACGATCAACGCTTGTGCTACGTACTCAAGCGCATCGCCAGGAATCTTACCTCATAATTATTATTAATAATTATTATAATGATCGAGCCTTTTCTTAATTTATTACAAATTATTATATTTCACGGATCAATAATTGAAAAGTGAATAGTTGAGAAAAGCTCCTCTTGCAAATGTCAATTAAATTCGACCGATTTAGTATGCTTTTCATAAAGTGCTGATAAATACTGATCCGATACATAATAAATATTAATATTTTTCACATCGATGGCCAGTTTACCATACCATACCCGTCTACCATCCACGCGCATACACATCTGTCGTGTGTGTATTTAGAGGCGAATGAGCGACAGATACATGCGTGTATCGAAAGCGAAGGCTAGGAGTTCATATTCGGACCTTCGCTGTAAAATGGTTAAGCTGATAAGAAGGGATTTTCAATGTATGTGGCAATTTTCACGTATGTGACGTGACGTGGATTATTGAACAGTCCTGTTTCTTTTGCATTGAAATTGAAATCGCTATTGAATGGCTTGTGAATGGCTTGTGAATGGCTTGTGAATGTTGAATTTGAATAGCACCGCAAAGCCTTGTGATTTCGTGGCACAAACGTCAGTCGTATTTAAAATGCAATCACTTGCGTTGAAATAATGTAATGCATAAATGTTTGAATGTTGATCGATATGCCTAGATACTAGATAGTTTAAATTATAGGGAATCGAGGTATTTCTTTCTGAGAACAACGTGTAAAATTATTGATCGGAAATAAAAGGCAGTGGCACGCCACGTTTTCATTGAATGGGAAGTTGTTGTTTTTGTTTTTGTTTTTTTTTTTTTTTTCATTACATCATTAACTCTAACAACATTTAAAAACTGCATTCACAAAGCGCAGCAAACGTTTTGAAATAAAAAAAAAAAAAAAGAGTTGAAGAGCGTTACGCTGTGTATTAACAAACACGTAATAATTATCTATTGAGATGAAAAATGTCTCTTAATTTTACGACGTAACAGACACCGAGTAAATAGAATAAAATCTCATGTTAATAAAAGAAAGTCTTAACATTTGGTTATTGTTGCATCGAATATTGGCGTAGTAAAAATCTATTGGTCAGTAGTAATGAGATAAGCAATAGTTGGCTACACCTCGCAATTAGACTTACGAGCCAAGGGATTAACGATATTAAGATTATTAACGACAAAACGTGCTTTCTCCATCATTATTTCACATTATATTCCTGTCAAAATATATATTACCTCCAACCTTCTCAATTATTAATATGATTATGATGACGACGATGATGACGATGATGACGATGATGACGACGACGACCATGACCACGATGACGATGATGATGATTATTATTGTTATTATTATTATTATTATTATTATTATTATTATTATTATTATTATTATAGATACAGGTCTTCTGCGAGTGTCAACATTCAACTTTTTATCCCATATATTCATATTTATTTTATCTCTTATTTAGCGAGTAATGAATTTAATGGAAAAACTTATTAGCATAAATTATATGTATAAATATCAGATTAATCATATAAATGAATTTTATCACTTATGTAATCGTACATTGGGGCTTCGCTACGATTGGCCAAATTTCTTTTCCCTTTAAACCTGGGAAAAATTAATACATTCTTTATTAAGTGCTGCGTTTATTGAAAATAAAAATATATTGGCATCGAGCGTAACGCATGAATGTGCCAATTCAGCCCATCTATTCGAGTAAGAAAGGATTACGAAAAGTGAAAAACGAGTTACCGTAAAAAATAATTCGCTCGTTTAATTTCGCTGCTTTAGACGTACTAACACCGGACTCTTATTAAGTTACTTACCACGTTTAACTGACCTATTACCGTCATACTCCCTTCTTTTTTCCTTCTTTTAGCCTTTCTCATTTACTCACTCTCATTCTCCCATTTTTTCTCTTCTATGTTTCTTCGTCTCCGCCTCTCGTTACTTCCCACTCCTCTCCCTCTCTCCCTCTGCCATATTACTGTCATTGTCACTTCTTTGCAATAATCGCTAACTGCTTACCGTTGTCCCCGTCTACATCTTCGCAC